TTTGAATATATGCCTCTTTGTATAGGAGTTTGTTCAGAGGTGATGCTTAGTAAATATTTAAGAGAATGCAGAGTAAGAGGGTATATTATTACTGTAGTAAATTGCTAGAATAATAAATATGTTAGCCTTATAAACTGAATTCACAGTTTCATTTGAGGATTTAAGAATACTTAATACTATATCCATTTTTGGATTTGTTTATTTCTCAATATTTGGAATAAAAAGAAGAGAGACGATAGTGTTTTTCCATGTTGATAGATCTTATTTAAACTTTGTGGTTCATAAATTTCTAATGGGACTCAATCCCCTGTAGTTTTTTCTTTTTCTTTTTTTTTTTTTAACTGTTAGAGAAAGATTACATTTAAATCTATTCAAAAGGAGAACAAAGGAGAAAAGCAATGTGAAAAGTGGAAAGGAGCAAAAAAAGAAAAAAAAAGGAGAGGAAGAAAGAATAAGTGAGCAAGATACAGTAGACTTTTCTATACTTATACACCCATTTATAAAGAAGCCGAATTTAAATAAGAATATTTTTTAATGAAAAGTATATCTTTCAATTTGAAGATAGTGAAAAAGTAATTCAATTGTTATTGTTTTTCTTGACATTTAATATTACGGTTAATTTTCTAACAGATATACAAGGGAAAAAACAGGAAAGAGAAAGATGAGAAATTATTTTTGAGAAAGAAAATTTGAACAAAAGAAAGACAATGAAGAAACTAAAGGGAATATTTTATGAGAATAAAAGAAATAAAATTTGAATTCTTTAAAAAGCACGTTTAAGATTTCTAAAGGATCCCAAATCCTTTTACACAACACGTAGATCAATTAATAACACTTGAATAATAATTCAATGTAGTTTTAAACAATAATTTCCCTGTAGAGGATGTTAGAAATTAAGAGAACAAAAAATTACTTTGTTTTACTGATTATGAGGTAAATGAAAACATGTAAAATTTATCCAAATGATGTTGACTTATGTATAATTTGGATTTCATTTAGTTCTGGATTCCTGACTTAAGAAATCATGGAAAAAAAAATAAATAAGCCCAAGTATTAGAGAACTATTCATTCAGAGTATTTGGTGTTTATATTCATTATCAAAATTTGCACACAATGGTTAACAGCACTGGATCTAGATCTAGACTAGCTGAATTAAGATTGGCTCCACTTTCTAACTGTGTGACCCTGGATTTGGGTTCCCCCAGAAGCAGACCCTGAGCTAAGCATTCAAGAACAAATGGTCTCCCAGGGAAGGGATCACAGGAAACACTGGTAAGGGACTGGGGAAGTGAGAAAAGGAAAAAGGAAGGAAACCGAAAAAAGAATATGGTATGAAGCCAGCCCACCGAGGGGAACTGGAGCTTCATTTTACAGGGGAACTCTCAGTCTGTGCAGAACACACTTTAGAGTTGTCCCAGCTGTGGAAGCTGAATTGCAATTTGTTTGTTTGTTTTTTTCAATCTGCCATTTTCCTGCCTTTCACTGGTTGAGGGTTGCTCCTTGGGGCAGTAACTCTGTGGCACCTCAGTTTATCCTGAATGGAGCTGAGTATGCTCTGTGGCTCCTCGGGCAGAAAGCGGCAGGGGTTTGCTGTATGCAGTACTACCTTATATTTCAAATTTTGTACTCGAAATATACCCTAACACCAGTATGGTCTTTATAAATTGAATTAACAAAATATAAGCTTTTAGATTAACAAAAATTAAATATAATAAGTATTAGAATAACCGTTCATGAGTACTTGGTACTGTGCTAAGTGCTAGAAAATTATTTGGGTAATTGCAGCAGTATTTACACTGGAAACTGAGACTTCATCTGGTCTTTTTGGATTCCTCATGCTATTAGGATATCAGGTACCACTGATATTCACTGGAAATGCTGATCTGCAGAGCACAGTACCGAAGAAATCCAAAGGGTGGAACCCAAGTGTCTCTATTTAAACATGTCCAGTATCAAATGTTCAAAGAATGGTATAATACCCATATAAGTAAAACCCTCAGAAATTCAACTTTTCTATGTTTCTCAGTTAAAGAACCCTGGAAACCGAGGTTCCTTTGAATCCAAAGGGAACGTGGAGTGGACAGGGGCGTTTGGAAGTCATAAGTATAAACCACGACGTTAGGGTCAGTTATAGAAATGGAGATTGTATTTTATTTATTTGTTTTGGTTGTGTCATACATAATTTTAATATTCAACTAATTTTCCTCTCATCTCTCCATTTTCTCACTATTTTATAAAGGATATGGTGTTTTTGCCTAATTTCATGATTCGGTCTATGGTAATGAATACTGAGATGGGATTACGATAGAATTAGAAGAAGAGAGAGAATGAATATAAACTTGGAAATCCTGCATCCATTAACTGATGAGACTTTGGCTTGCCTCAATTTTTGATTGAACCACAGTTATGTTATGTTAGGCAGCAATATGCCTCCTTTTTCCCCTCACCCAGTTTGGAAGTATAAACACCTATTTGAGCAGGTGGAGAGGGGAACTGTGGAGAGATGGCAGGTGACAGTGGAGAATCCCTTATTATCACCAAAGATGTGGAAAGAATATATGTTTTCTATGGCTCAAGTGAAGCCCATAGGAGGAAGTTGGGCTTCATTCAGCCTTTATGCTGGGACCCCATTCCAGAAGGCTGATCACTAGGAGCGGATATTTAAAGAGCAAGAAGCTATGGCATGTGCTGCAGGAGGCAGTCACTGAGGAGCCCCTGAAGGGAGCTGGAACAGATTCTGCTCACCAGGGAGCTGAACAGATAGGAGGATCTCTAACATGGGGCCCCTCAGAAAGCCGGCACATTGATGCAACCATATATCTCCTTCTTCCTTTTCAGTTTTTGCCCCCAAAATGCTAAAGCAGAGAAGCAGGCAACAAGGAAGAGCAAAGGGCACATCAGGCTCTATTAATACCTCAGGTTTTTTGGGCCTAGTCATACTTGGCTGCAGACAATTGAGGGGATGACTGGATAGATAGGAAAGAGATGAAAATTAGTTTCTACAGAGCTTGGCTGAGTGGAGCCACTGGAGAAAATGCAAAGTCATTGTATATCTCTATCCTACCGACTTCAGTTATGGGGGCGGGGGTAAGCATGCTCAAAAAAGCCAGAAAAGGGGAGTAAAAAAGAAGAAGAAAGACCAAGGCTGAAATAAATTATTTTAAGTCAGGGGGTTATTAGGATTACAGATCCTGTTTTTCCGTACCCCTCGATACGTTTTTAAAGTTGCCATACATAATACACAATAAAACATTAATGTGCTAAATTCCATATACCAAAATTTATATACATATGCAGTTTTTTGGTGTGACATCTATCTGTGCATACACATAAATGTATATCTAGAAAAGCAAAAGTTTTATATACCTACATTCTCTGGGAATAAAGCTATAACACCATTTATGTGATGTATTAGAACTGTATTCATAATTATAAGGTTCAGAAAACCTTGTAGGATTATGGATAGGGAGTAATATTTTGAATATTTTGGTATTTCTTGATAACCCCTCATGAACTCAACTCTCTTCTCCTTTCGGGAACCATCCCAAGATGTAAGCTCACATAGGTTTGCATATCATATTAAAAAGAGTATAGGTAGCATTTAATTGGACACTATCAGAAAGCACAAAGTGTTAAAGACAGGCCAAACACCTACATAGTGCCTACCATGGCATTACCTTTGATGAAGTTAGAAAAGTTAAAAATACATGAAGAAGCACAAATAAGTCTGGAGTATTTTCATCATAGGAAAAATATCTCTAAGCTTTCTTTTCTGAGGCTCTCTTATGAATGAAGACTGTGTTCTCTTATTTATATTTATGATTTCTGAGCTGTGATTTATTATGCTCTAGAATTTTAGCCAGCATTTGGCTCTTTTTGACTCATACTGACATTTTCAATAATCTCTCAGAAATGCCAGATCGTAAATGCATATAATTACCAAAATATAATAAATCACAAAGCAACTTTAAAGAAAGGTTGTTTAACAATAATGATAGAAGCTTATGAAGTAGGAACTTTGCCATGCGAAACAGGTCAGATCTGAGTTTTAAATAAAATACTTACCTCTCAGTTCATTTATAAGTAAAAGGTGGAAATTTTCTCATATAAAATTAGGATAAAATGAAATTTTCCTTCTGGAAACCCCAGAGCAGGAGATTTTACATTTGAAATCAGGATTTGGTGAATTATCATTTTTTGGGGGTGAGTTACCAAGACCAGCAAATATTGAACCTTCTGTACTAAATCGAAGGGAATATCACAGTCATGGATATTCAAAACTAGGTTTTACTAAATTTTATGAAGTTAGACTCACCAACAAGAATCAGACACTCTATACAGTTTTAGTATTAAGCATGCCCTAGTATTATTAAAATTATTCATAAAATTATAATTCATGAGTATTAAAACATTGGTAATTTTCTACTAATCATAGCCTCCATTCTTATTGCTTTAATTTACTATAGTAAAAATCATTAATAGTATTTATAACAATTACGTTGAATTTTAGTTAAGTATTCAGTTTTTATCACATCCATGTGTTACTTACTCTGTGAGGTTTGAGTGTCGATGAACTTCTTTATCAAGGCATCAGTAGTTTGGGTATAAAGACTGAGAGCATATCTCAGAGACTGCAGATCTGGGCTTTTCTCCAAGAAATTTTTTTTGAGGCCATTTCCTCCAGCATGGAAGTATTGCTAAAAAGAAAATAAATAATGTAAGCAGAAGCATTTGAAAAGGGGTATTGAAGGAAGGGCTTTATTGCGGTAACAGTAAAGCTCTAATGGAATAATACCTCAGTTCCCTCAGTATCTCTGAAATGATGCTCTACATCACAGATCCTTGAGGCTTAAGACTTTTCTTCTCATTCAAAACTTTATTTAAGCATATGAGATATTGAAGATACAGTGGTCAGAATCCTTTAGAATGACATGTTTAGGTAATAATTGTCAACTTGGTTACTGACTTCTGTTTCCAGAGCATAAGAAAAATATCCAGAGTTGCCAAAATTTCACAAGGAAAGTAGATCTTAGTTACATATTTCCTGACACTAGTTTGTCACTTTAGACCAGATACCTGCTAGCTCATCTTCCCCATCCTCTAATAACACAATGGTGCAGATGTAGGCCAACCTAAAGACACAGAGTGGTCCTTAGAAAGTCAACATCCCAACAGAAGTTTTTTGTTTTTGTTTTTGCTATTGTTATCCGACAAACTCAAAATACAACAATATTTATAGGTAAGATAATAGAGAGGATATAGGCTCTTTGACAATAAATATGGTCAATAAAGGATGTTAGCATTTTGCATGCTGCAACTATTATGCACGACATCTCTTTGGAAAGCTGAATATCTAGATATGTGATACAACTGTCTTTCCTCCCCAAACATTTAGAGATAATATACTATTTATAATATTCTGTTCATGTTAGATAAATGGTTCTCTCTCTCTGTACCAACAATATTAAACTACACACTCATTGCAACGTGGCTAACTATGATCTGTAATCTCACAAAATGACATATTTTGAAGAAGCTCAACAAATAACTAATACATGCTCTTAAATGGATATGTGTCATCCCTCTATTCCACTACTCAAAAAATTCTGAGCTAAAACAAGTCAATGAACTGAAAAATCATAACTATCTCAATTTTCTCCCCTTTTCAAGGGGAGATGTAGAAAAATATTCTGCATATTTGTAAGCATCTGAGAACACTTTTAAATAGCGTAGTAGAGAAGATTCAGGCGGTAGGCCAGAGAAAGTAGCCAGTGGGGATATATGAACAAAGATTGCTCCAATTACACTCTCCCCAAGGAGAAAAAATTCCATTTCCTGATTTTAGTTGAGTGCACTGTGAGAACACAAGTCTGGCAAAAGATATGTATGATTATGAAGAGGAGGCATAGAAAAATAGAGAGAGTAGTTTCTTACTTTTTAAGAGATGACAAAGATATAATATTTAAAATTATCCTACACTTGAATCTTCCTGTAAAAAATGTTGAAGTATTTTCACAAGTAGAAAGCATTTATTGAGAACGACACCAGAATTGTTTCAGGTGTCTTGGTAGATAAAAAAAAATATATGATAGTTCCTTTTTTCAGAAAACATGGTATGATATTTAAGGTGGAAAAATGTTAAATGTATTTAGTGAGAGCGGACGATTTAGTTTGGTCTTGACGTTTCTCCTAGAGGAGTGGTGGGGTGCTATCTGGAGGTGTGTTTATGTAATGAACCAAGGAGCTGACAGGGTAGATAGGTAGGTATGAGTCGGACGGAGAGGGACAATGAAGAGTTAATGAGGCTCGGAGACTGTGCAGCAGCAGAACGTACACAACGAGGTACCTGGTGGTACCTGGTACCTTTCTCACTTCCCTGCGCTCCCCTTCGCTCGCCTGCAGTTAACTGCAGATGACCATTATATGACCTTATTTTAGGGGTGCTAGACCAGTACCAGTAAAATTAGTTAACTGAGCGTACCCTCATAGTTCCTACAATGCGGGTGTATGACAGCCCATGTACGGGCACACACTGCGTATGCCCCGGCCAGAATCAAGATGGTCTGAAGAAGGGACAGGGAATTTGTGCCTTTCAAGGTAGGAAGGACAGGAGAACAAATAAACTTATGGCCCATAAAAAGTCAGATCCCCAATTTCTAATCACACTCAATTTTTATTGAGCTAGCCCCTTGGACTTTCTTCCAACTGTACTTTACTCAGCCTACTTTACTTAATAAAGTCACTTCTGTTTGCTGCTTTTCTCTGCTCTGTGTTCCTTCTTCCAGGTTCAGACCTCCATACAAATCTTTCGTGGGGGATCCAAGGGCTGAGCCCAGACTCTTACACAACACAAACACCTGACTGTTGATAACTTAGCCATCAGATGAAATAACTCACCCTAGAAATAAAGAGCAGTGAGATAAACTGAATCAAGAAAGAATAGGCAGGATCTCCGGAAGGAAATCCTTTCTCCCACCCTATGTTTCTCAGACAGGCTCCACCCTTATATGCTGCAGGTGTAAGAACAATGATTTCAAATACAGATAATGAGGGAGGTATATAATTCTATTGGGGAAGGAATCAGTAGAGTTTTCCAAAAAGGTGACCTCTTTGGCATTTATCAGTTTCTCAGCACTGCCATTTTAAATATCAGTAGCCACTAGATACATGACTACAGTGGACTAGAGGAAGAAGGCAATCTCCCTGGGTGACCAAGAGAAACCCTAGGAGTCCCAGCACTACTTAAGAATAATTGAAGTTCTTGTAGTTCTCACAAGATATTTCTTTGGTATAGTTTAAACTGTACTGTTTTGCTACTAGTATTCTATTCTCATTACAAAACTTGTGCTGCCTGGAAATTTCAATTTGTCTCTAGGCAGTAAAAGAGCCTGGAAAAGTTGAGATGACACCTTAGTCTTAAAGATTCACAATTCTTATTATCATATTAAAGGCTCTGAGACTCTCTGTGGTAAGGAAATCTGTTGAACCTTTCATTAACACACAGTAGTCTCCCTTATCAGCAGGAGAGACCTTCTAAGGCTCTCAGCAGGTGTCTGAAACTGCAGATAGTACCAAGCCTTACATACATACTGTTTCTTCCTATATATACATATCTATGATAAAATTTAATTTATAAATTAGGCCCAGTAAGGGTTTAACAACAATAACTAATAATAGAATAGAACAATTATAACAATATATTGTAATAAAAGTTATGTAAATGTGGCACTATTAAGCAAAATAAGGGTTACTTGAACACAAGCACTGTGATATCAGGACAGTTGATCTGATAACCAAGATCTAAGATACTAAGTGACTAATGGGTGGGTAGTATATACAGCGTGGAGACGCTAGACAAAGGGATGATTCACATTCTACAGGGTGGCTAAGATTTCATCACGCTACTCAGAATGCTGTCCAATTTAAAACATATGCATTGTTTATATCTAGAATTTTCCATTTAATATTTTTGGACTGTGGTTGACTGAGGGTAACTGAAACCACAACAAGTGAAACCATGGATAAGGGGGACTCTGTACTTGGTTCTTAAAATCATGTGGCTACAGAACACCAATCATGCAGGATACTTATTAACACACTTGGGGGCAAACATATTTCATGGATTATGATTTAGGAAATCCTACAATAGAAGAATATGACTGGACTTCATATAATTGAGACACTTCTGAGGGTATAGAAAGCTTTGTGGAAGAAGGGAACTAGAGTTAGATTATGAAGGCATAAACTATGTATTCATTCTTGAGCTCCCTAAAATTTTATAGGAAGACACGTTTTTACTATGAAGGCATTATCTTCTAGGTCTTTGTAAGATGGGGGACTAATCATGAAGTGAAAACATGAATAAGGTATGAGTTTGTTACCGAGGAAAACCTAAGGGTCTCCACAGAGTTTTAGGTTATGACACAGAACTGACTTCTGCTAAAATCTCTAGCAAGACAGGAAGTTAAGAGAACATTTGTAGGAGAAGAAATGATACTTTTGTCTTCTGGAGTGCATTGTATAATAGGAGATGTTGCAAGACAAACCCCAGACACAAGTTAGCAATATTAGAAGAGAAAACAAGTTGCAAGATGCTAAGAATAAAAGTCTCCATTCAGTGAACAAAGACAAATAACACATGCCATAGGCTCCTCACTCCAAGAGCAAAGGAAATGATTTCTATGGTTATGCAAATGCAACCTTGATGAAATGCTACTTTATGGAAGCCTTTCACACAGTGTTCAGAACCTGGGCAACAGCTCCCAAGAGCATGAATCTCCTTATCTCACCAGCACAGATAATCAAGAGAAAAGAGGATGTAGTCAACTACCAGTACCTTGTCATTCAGTGATTCCATATTCAGTTTTGGCTCTTTGAAAGATCCCCTGAAGGAGCAGGAGAGTAGAATTTGTATTTTGCTGAGGCTTGGGTGTGAAGGATATAAATGTGGGGCTGATGTGTGGGAGTGAATGGCTTAGCTATTACAACCTTCTACCCATAGCTCAGTGCAGCTGAATTGATCTCCATTAGTTATAACATTTTGTAGGGGAATTATATCCTACAGGAGAATATCTGAACGTGCAGTTTTAAAGCCTTTGGATGTTTCCCTTATGCATGTGGAAAGTGGATTATTCTCCACTGGTTCTAAACAAAACGCTATGACTCAGTTTATTATTGTTCCTCTGCAACCTGCAGTATAATCCCCAAACCACCACTTTGATTTGTTCAGATGTTTTACTTAGACTGGGGCAAATTAGCAGAAAATAATTGGCAAAATATCATGTTGGGACAGGTCATTTCCTGCCCAAGAAAAGTCCAAGAAAGGACTTTCATCAGAGGACCATGGAGGAGATGGTTCTTTAGTACTGTAAAGGATCAGGATGTCAGCTGGGTGACATTCTCCCTACCCTTGTCCCTGTCCTGGCTGATATTTTCAATATGGACTTGGACAAAGGCAGAAAGTGTGTTTTTCAAATGTGCAGTTGAGCCAAAGCTTAAAATTATTATATTGGATGACAAAATAAGGCTTCAGAAAGGTCTTGGCAGTCAGGAATGGTGGGTGAACATTTATAGGATCAGATGACGAAGAGCAAAGAAAAAGGCCTGTAGTCATGATACAATGTTTACTGCCAACTTCAGAATGGGGGTGACTTAGCTTAACATCAGTACAATTTTAAAAGCCATAAAGATTTATTTG